CCAAAGCAGGACCAATCCGTTCTTTTCAACCGCTTAACAGACAGGAACATATACTTAAACGACAGTCGGGACCCCTCCTAGCCCCTATCCCTTCTCTCCTCCGCATTTCGTATTCGCTCCCCCGTCGTTTGCTTCGCCGATAACAAATACTACCACTCCCACCCCTTTTTTTTGGGACAATTTAATCATTGCAAATTTTTTACGCTATTTATTTGTCTTTTTCTTTTCTTTTCATTTTTTGTTTGTTTTGCGGCGTCGGTTCCGAAGATTGAGTTCTTTGAGCTACCGTTCTTTAGATCTTAATAGTACTCTTTATTATTCTCATTTATTTCAGAATTTTTTTTCTTTCGTCTGTTTGTTTTAAGTGATCGCATTCGTGTTCTTGATCGTTGGATGCTTTTTGTTTATTGAACCTTTGAACATGTCCGGTCCTCTCGATCGTTTCGCAAGGCCTTGTAAGTGATTTCTCTTCATGATTCATGTTCTCTGCTTTCTATTTTGAAATTCCATCATTTTGACTTGTTTTGTTCTATATTTTATGAATTCTAGGTTTTTTTTTTGTTTTCATATTCGTTTTCTTGATTGTTACTGCTGTTCGTTGCTGGAGAAAATTCTTTTTGAATCGGCTTTAGAACATCTTCGATGAACTTTTTCGATTGCTATACAGGTTTTGAGGGAAATGGTAGCAATGATGAAAGGAAAGAAAGGAAATCGGATTTCGAAATCTCTGAAGAGGACAGGAAGACTAGAATCGGGAACCTCAAGAAGAAAGCGATGAAGGCGTCGAGTAAATTCAGACGATCACTCAAGAAGAAAAGTAGGAGGAAAAGTGATGGTCAAATTAGATCTGTTTCGATTAAGGATATTCGAGATATTGAGGAGTTGCAGACTGTTGATGCTTTCCATCAGGCACTAATAGCAGAGCAGTTGCTTCCTGCTAAACATGACGATTATCATATGCTACTTAGGTACTCAATTTAGCTTTTGAGGTTGTGATCTTCTTTGCTTTTATGAGTAATTGCTTGAACAATTGTTACTGTTGATACAGATTTTTCTATAAGAAAAAATGATGCAGGATTGGTTTAGCTTACTCTGTGTTCTGAAATAGGTGTTTTCTTGCAGATTCTTAAAAGCAAGGAAATTCGATATTGAAAAAGCAAAGCACATGTGGGATAATATGATCCAATGGAGAAATGACTTTGGTACTGATACTATTTTGGAGGTGATCTCATCTAGTGATTTTATCTCATCTTATTGCAGGAATGTCCCACATCATCTGTGGGATCTTTGTTAGTTACTATATGAAATATTTGCCTATATCATAAGTTTTTAAACTCCTTAGTTACTGTATTACATATTTGTGTTTATCATAAGTTTAATGACATAGCTATAACTTTGTTTTTCCAAGTTGTTTATTTACTTATTGCCTGGTTTTATATGGACCAGTGCTGACTTACTTTCTAAAAAATAGTTATTATGGTTTAATCAGGATTTTGAGTTCAATGAGTTGAACGAAGTGTTGAAGTACTACCCTCAAGGTTATCATGGGGTGGATAAGGAAGGAAGACCTGTTTACATTGAATTGCTGGGAAAAGTCGACCCTAACAAGCTCATGCGAGTAACAACTTTGGAACGATATGTAAAATATCATGTGCAGGAGTTTGAAAAGTGTTTTGCAACTAAGTTTCCGGCTTGCTCCATTGCTGCAAAGAGACACATAGATTCCAGCACAACCATTTTGGATGTTCAAGGCATGGTATGTTTCATGTTGTTTATTAGATTTTATAGTCTTCCTTGCCATCATTTTATGTTTGGCCTAAGTAGAGTTTATTACACTTGCAAGTTGCTCATTGCAAGTCATTTTTATTCTTAGGGCTGTAAAAGCTTTAGCAAGTCTGCACAAGATCTTGTGAGGCGGCTGCAGAAGATTGATGGTGATAACTATCCTGAGGTAGGTTGTTCAAGGTGCTAATATATTGTGTACTTGTGAAAATTGCTCGTGTTTACTGTAGAATAGAAATTCTTTGGGAATCAAAACCAAGGTTATGCATTTCCTTGAATTATCTTTCCTCTGCAGACTCTTTACCGAATGTTTATCATCAATGCTGGTCCTGGTTTTAAGATGGTCTGGAGGGCTGTCAAATCTTGTCTTGATTCCAAAACAGCTAGTAAGATTCATGTAAGTTCAAAATCTTTATAGGTTTGGCTTTTCTGTATTCTACACTCCTCAGTTGATAGAAGTTACCTTATTTTTTGAAATTTCTCTCAGGTTCTTGGTAGCAACTACCAGAATAAGTTGCTTGAAATCATCGATTCAAGGTAATTAATTTTTTGGTTGCATACATGTTGGTTAATTTGCATTCAATTGTACCGGCAACTAAAGCCTTTTGATATCTTGAACTTTTTTAGTGAGTTGCCACAATTTCTGGGAGGGAGCTGCACCTGTGCTGATCAGGGAGGTTGCATGAGGTCTGACAAAGGTCCCTGGAAAGACCCCAACATATTAAAGGTTTGATATGCACTCTGTGATTACGCTTGCCCTGATTTTCTGATCCCTTTCTTTTCAGTGTTATTTCATACATGTTTTAAGCAATATGATTGTATGTCTTCATGCAGATGATTGCCAGTGGTGAAGCGCTATTTTCCAGACAAATTGTGACAGTTTCAAACAGTGAAGGAAGGATAATTGCCTATGATAAGCCACGTTATCCCGTGGTATGGTCCACTAGATATGTTTTTCACAGTGCACATCATGCCTTTTCAGCTTTGAGGTTTACATTGTTAGAATTCAGTCAAATATTCTCTAATCTAGATCTGCTTTCTTACTGAGTCAGATAAAGAGTAGTGACACATCTACAGCTGAGTCAGGATCTGATGTGGAAGAAATTGCCTCTCCTAAGACAACTAGAAGCTATTTACATCCAATATTGGCTCCTGTTAGTGAAGAGGTAGGCCCTTGCTAATTGTGTTGAATGATTATATGGCATAACAGGATTTGCATTTTTGATTCACAGTTTAAATATCATCAAACACCAGGATAGTCTTTTTGTCTATCCAAGAATGCTTCACTTGCAAGTAGATATGTGGATGCTTTGCTCACTTCACAGATCATATTCATAAAGTAGCACAGTAACATCCTAAGATGGCTAAGTGGGAGTATGGTTACAAATACAGTCTTGCACTGTAAATTCTTCTATCTTGAGTTCTTTAACTACATACCATGACATTTGTATAGGCTAGAATGGCTGGTAAGGCGATCTCTGCTGGTGGTTCATATGAGTATGATGAATACGTTCCTATGATTGACAAGGTTGTGGATTCAGAAAGTGAGATACAAGTGTTCCATCAGAGTCCATATAGTTCTGAAGGTTAGTGATATGAGCTGTGTTTCAATGTTAGTTTTTTTACTCTTGCCAATATGATGAGAGAAACTATTTTGTATACTGCATGCCATCTCAAGCATAAACAGAATGTTCTTGATTGTTTTCCAGCTTCTACTACAGGATCATCATGCATGTAAATGTGCTTGCTTAAAGCAAAATTTTAATGTCTTTGTCATGACCAGAGGTTTTATTTGTTGTCCACATCTTCATGCAAGACATGGTGTGAAGGTCAAGATTTATTGAGAGATAATCAATCACCCACAATTAACAGAAAGTTGGCTTTAATTGCAGGGACTCCTCCTCTGCCACTGGTAGAGCAAACACCAAAAGGAATTTATGGTCATATTGGTGCAGCAGTTATTGCCTTCTTGACCGTTTTTGCTTTTATCCGAACAATGGTGTTGCATCTGATGAAGAAGCAGAGTATAACTGATTTGACACGTAGTATTCCTGACCAGCATGTTGAACCGATATACAAGGAGGAAACTCGTCCCCCTTCACCTGCTCCGAGGTTTACTGAGGTAGACCTCCTGTCATCTGTCGTAAGAAGGTTGGGTGATCTAGAAGAGAAGGTTGAGATGCTACAATCAAAGAGATTTGAGATGCCTCATGAGAAGGAGGAGTTGTTGAATGCTGCCGTTTATCGTGTGGATGCATTAGAAGCAGAGCTAATTGCTACGAAAAAGGTAATTATTCTTGATTCCATCTTGAGTAGAGATAGTTTCTTTGATGCCACCACCACTTATTTGATTTAAGGTCACGACTAGCCTTGAGAAGGCATTTCAAGCCTCTCTTGATATTTGTCCTCAACTTTCATGCTCCATCAAATGAGTCAAGCTTGACATGAGAGATCTATGATGATGCCCCTTGTTATTCGATTTAAGGTTTTCAATGACAATGCATGTTTTCTTCTATTTGAGCTTTTCTGATTGTGCTTTATATACATGAGCAGGCTCTTCATGAAGCTTTAATGCGGCAGGAAGAACTCCTTGCCTATATAGATAGTCAAGAAGAAGCCAAGGCTCGGGTAAGTCGAACGCAATAACTCTCAACCTGATAATACATGCAAACTGATTCTCATCAGCTATCTTTGAATGCACGATGCAGAGCAAGAGGTTTTGCTGGTGAAAATGTGATATCTGTATCCAAAAGAAACTATATGGCGGAATTTCGATCAGCACAGCAGCATTCAATACTTTACCTTCAAGATGGACAGAAAACTACCTTTATACATATATAGAGCTTGTTGATTCCCGGCAATCACAGAGGGGAATGCAATGTAAATAAAATACCATACAGGATATAGCTATTGTACCACATAAGATGGCCCTTACGTTTGTCATCTGGACCGGACCGGTGGCTGGTTGCTTCTTTCTTTCTTTTTTTATTGTTTTCATTGTTTTTTTTGGGAGGCTTGTTGCACATTTTGAATGTTGTTGTAATATAATAGATAAAAATGGTGTTTCATTTTCTATGGCACGTTTTCACATTTCATATATTGGGTAATTGGAAATTGAAATAAAGGGGTGTATATTAGTACACGATTTTTCTACAAAATAAAAAGGAAAAGGGAAAAGGTTTTTCAGTTTCCTTTTGTTGGGTAAGCCCAACGCCCCTAACCCCGTAAGCCTTAAGAAGAGAGAAAGTGATCCACAATAATCCAGTGGACGTCGGTGACATTTTGGGTAAATAACAACATTTGACCTGACACCAAGACCGCCGGAGTTCCAGACAAAACGCAGAGCAACTATTACTGTTCCCAGTTCAACTAAACTTCTTGAATCTCTGCACAGTAATAACTCTTTTGATCTTTTGTTTCTAAGTTTGAAAATTGCGGCTCTTGGGTCTCTCGTTCTTCTCAATGTTGATGCGAATCTATGGTCAGAGGAACATACTTTTCTCTAAGGTTTTTATGTATATTATGTGGCTTACTTATCTTCCTCAGCGTTCTTACTTTCGATTTATCTAAATTATTGGTGTCTTTCATTTTCAGGTTGTTCTGGGTTGTTACACTTATACAAAGGGGGTTTCTCATCTTATCTCTGGGTCTGCATCATTGCGATTTTCAAGGGGTTTCGACGAGTCTGCAATGCTTGGATTTTCTTCAACGCCGGGTGATAATTTAAGGAGCCTGCCTAAGAGTGATTCCCTGAGGAGTTACCAAGTTGTGGTGGCTGCAACTCGTGAAATGGGGATTGGAAAAGATGGGAAGTTGCCATGGAGATTACCTTCTGATCTCAAATTCTTCAAGGAGCTTACAATGACAACATCAGATCCTGAGAAGAAGAACGCTGTTGTAATGGGTAGAAAAACCTGGGAGAGTATTCCACTTGAGTATAGACCTTTACCTGGTCGCCTAAATGTTGTCCTGACTCGTTCAGAGAGTTCTAAGATTACAACTGGAGAAAACGTTGTAATATGTGGGAGCATCTCTTCAGCTTTGCAATTATTAGCAGAGGTTCCTTATTGTTTTTCAATAGAGAAGGTGTTTGTCATTGGAGGTGGCCAGATATTCAGGTAGATTTTAGTTACAGTTGCATATTTTTGGTTATTGATGAAAGGGATATGTATGATATTTTATACTGCAGGGAAACACTCAATGCTCCAGGTAGTGAAGCCATCCACATTACTGAAATTGATACAAGCATTGAATGCGATACGTTCATTCCAGCTATTGATTTGTCTTGTTTCCGGCTGTGGTACTCATCCAAGCCATTAGTAGAAAATGGTATCCGGTTTTCTTTTGCAACCTATGTTCGTGTGGGAACTGCGGCAACTTTGTCTCCTTTAACTAGTGAAGTTAAGTCTAATGGGGATTCAAATTCCAACGATTTTGATGTAAAAAACTTAACTTTCTTACCAATGATGATTCTTGAGAGGCATGATGACTAAACATACCTGAGACTTTGCAAGAAATCATCTCAAGTGGTCTGACTGGAGAGATCAAAATTCAGTTGCCCAGGTAGTCTGAAACTTTGGTTCTTTGCATCTACCGTTCTTTACCTTACCTTGTACCTTTTCTGTTCTTGCTGGTATTTAAATGTGAAAATGAGCATCACCATGTTGTGAGTTTGCAGATGCAATTTAATCTTTGGATATCTTTTCAGCTTCTCATAACTAAGGCACTTTTCATTGTGCAGGATGTTGTGTTGTTTTTTCCCTGTTCAACTGGGTATTTTTCTTCCTTTTCTAGCGTGAACAAAATGTTTTTGATACAAAGTTTTCTTGTCCTGTGAATGCAGATTTTGAGGATCAATAAGCAGAAGAAAGACATATATTCATTTATTACATCAGACTTCGCATCTATGATCCATATTAGAAACTAGAAAGGAACATAGGGTTTAGAATGGTTGTAAAGGGGAAAGAGATTCACTGCCCTGTTTTTAGCATTGAAATTTCTTTCTTTGTTTTTCCTGAGGTACTGATATATATGCACAATCCTTTGCACACAATTTTGCTGCTATGAATTCTGTTACTTTTCATATTATATACCCCAATTTGAATTACAAGACATTGGTTTGATGCTGTAAAATGGTTCTGAGATGATGGCCTCTAACTTGAGGAGAATTGCAGGAACGCCCCTAAACTTTGTTCAAGGTTCAAACATCCCAGCTTTTGCCTAAACTTTGTTCAATGTTCTAACTTTCCTGCAGCATCTCAGCTTTTGCTCTGTCATGTAGGAATTTGATAAGGCCTTGAAGAGAAACATCTTGATCTTGACTCTTCATCAGGTCTCCTGCAACTGCAGCTGGTGTTGCCTGAACCTTCTCTAACAACCCCTTGATTTCCTCAAAAAGTGGATGATCTTGAATTTGCAAATAATTAGAAGCAAGTGCCCTGAAACGGCTAAATGTGCAATAAGTCATATGGAGATGCATGTCCATGTGTCCTGGTCTGAGCAGCACTGGATCGAGATGGCCCTTGTGATTGGTTTTGATCACTATTATCCCCTCATCTCCATAAGTTGATGACAATCCGTCAATGAAGTTCAGTAGACCCGAGAGAGTTACTTGTAAGTTAATATCAATGTCATTAACTATTCAACAAGAATTGGGATAAGAAATTTCTTTATTGATGCATATACCTTGTCATCTTTCAGCAGAATCTAGTGAACTATTAATGTTCTCAATGACTAGTATAGAACGATTAGCTGTACCTATGAATAATCTCCTGAAATCCGAATTGCACTGAACTTCTTTTAAATCTAAATCATAACCAGGCTTGACTTTCCAGTTCCAGGTGGTTCATATAACAAATACCCACGCTTCCAAGCCTTCCCTACTCTCCTGTAAAACTCCTTCCTTCTTGTGAACTTGTCAAGATCTTCTATTAGTGCCTTCTTCACTTACAGATTCATCGCCATGGTATCAAAAGTTGCTGTATGATCAAGATTGATCGAACTGCAATAATCTGTACCTTTGTAATCAACTGTATGAAGCTTCAGAGACTTTTTATCTCCTCTAATCTCTTTTGCTTCGAGAAGAATGTATGGCAGGTATGAACTCAGCACCATCTCTCTATGCTTCTTATGGAAACTCAGCTCGAAGTACCATACTTCCTCCTTCAACTTCCCATTGGAGGTATTCTTCTTGTCAGAAACTGACTTATAATTCAGTGAATAAAACAGTACCCCTTCAACTTTACACCATTAAACACATCAACCAATTCTTGATTCTCATCGGTAGTCACTTGCAATCCTCTCTCTTTCTCGGCCTTGTTAACCTTAACCCTTCAGCTCGATGATGACAACTTCTCACCCAAGTAAAGGTTAGCAGCATGGAAGATCTGGTTAGCAGTGAGCCCATCAGACTCTTCAATGACAACCGTGAGGTGAGAGGAGAAAAAGGAGGAGAGCTTTCGAAGATGAGAAAAGAAGTGATCCTTGATGGAGTCTGGGAGGAAATCATTGGCAATGGTTCATAGGAGAATGGCTGAGGCGGTGAGAGAGGCAGCTGATGAGAGAATAGCTTCATACGAAGGCATTGCCTTGATAGAAACCCACATCTCTATTTCTTTCTATTGGAGTACTCTCAGGGTTTTAGGGAGGTTTTCTTAATTATACACAGATTTCGGAACTAGAATTCTCTCGACTTCGGAGGTCATGGACCAAGCGTAACATTGCTTGCCTCCTTTCCAGGGTCTTGAAAGGAGGCCACAATAACAAAAGCCCATTTATTTGGAAGCCCAATAATTGGCCCACAAAGCCCTGGTAACTTTACACTCTTTGACCATATCAGTAACATCAATTTATTAATCTTTATTGTTAAATTATTTGTTTTTACTGTTAGGATTTATAAATTAGAGCTTTTAATTGATAGTATAAAACTAAACACATGATGCTGACCTATGGAACAGATATCAAACGAAGTACCAAGTGGGAACAGAAGATCTTTATTTGATTTATAATTTCAAATATTTTCATGTAGAAAAACATTAGCTGAAATAAAAGAGAAAAATGGTAATTAAAATATTCAAGCCCACTAAATTCCTTTATAGATGCAAGCCAAATTAATAGTCACCTAAAAGTGAAACAAAATTAAGACATGAGACAATCTCCTTCCAAAGTCTTTTTCCTTGGACAAAAAAAAAAAAGGACAATTGAATCAAATGAGCTTTCCTGTTGATATCATATGTTGATTTTGATTCATCAATAAAAATAGACAGCTTTCATAGATTATATTATTATAACACTTTTTTTTATTATTATTATCAAATCAACATCTCAATTTCTTATGTATGGTGACCGATCCATTGTCGGCAATCAGGATACATTCGTGGTTTCGGCCTGGCTAGCTAACCACAAACCCACCCCCTTAAATTTATTTTGTTCCCAATTTTATAGAAGGAAGAATATGTAATTTCATGTGCCCCACCGGTCCAATTTGCTACTAATATCTTTTTAAGGTTAGGGTTATAGAGAGAACCTAACATCGTGATCCACTGGTCACATCCTTGCTAACCCTAATTAATTCATTCCTCGATGTTTTTATCATCGTTAATATTCTTATTAAAGTGTTATTCATTTTTATAATTTAAAATGTATATTTAATATATTATCATGTATAAATTATATACCTTATCGATAAATTTAAATTAACGAAGAAACAATTTGGGTGAATTTTGTTGAATAAATATATTTTTTGTGAATTATTATTAATATAATATTTGAAAAAATCTCTAAATTATTAAAAAAATTTTAAATAAATTTTTATTCATCTAGTGCTTTCAAGTCAAATAAATTTTTATAATTAACAATTAACTAATTATTATAAATTAAAATATTATTTATTATTTTATATTCATGTGATATTAATGTAGAAAATAAAAAATAACACCTGATTACGTTATCATGTTACATTAATATAACATGTCAACGTACTACATTAACATCATATGATATATAGAATAACAAAATGACATTTTGATTGATAAATTATTAATCATAATAACTTATTTGACTCTAAATAAATAAATAAATAATTTTTTAAAATAATTTTAATTTTTTTAAAAAAATTATGCCATTATCATTTAATTTTTACATTTTGGTCCAAAAGGACGAAGTTGCTTGGGGAGGGACATGACATCCCTACGCAAAGGACAAGCCTTGGTCAGCACATTTCAAGCACGTCCCACAATAAAAAGGCCAGTCGTTTGGCTTCTCCTACGTTTTAATGGCAGGGGACCCTACAACTACGAAGAAGGATGGGTAGTTTCTTCAGAGTAATTGCAGCGGCCCTCTGCCCTCCAAGGCAATTAAGTCAGGACCTTGGGAGTGTAAAACCAACTGCTTTAAACAGATGAAAACAGTAACAATCATGGCCATTTGCATCCAACATGCTATGGCGAAAATCCAACAAAGGAAAAAGATCATTCAAAAAAAGAAAACAAGCAACTTTACATATTCTAAAATTTGCAGAAGACAGTTTGATGGAAACAATGGCAGTTTCCGATGTACTAGGAAAAAGTTACAGTGCCTTTTCTTTAGCTGCTGGATAAGGAATGGGGTTCCTCTTCTGAATTTGGGGTTCTTGGAATCCATGAAACTAGAATATAAATTTACAGCAGATGCTAAATTGTGGAATATGGAGATGTTAATTACAGAATGGAACAGTAAGTGTAAAGATCATCGCTCACAACATACCAGACTTCACATTTCTGGCACATCTTTGGGGTGTAAACCATAACATCTTTCCGGTCATCCTTCTTCTCGTCCTGCTTCCCATCCTTCTTCCCATCCTTCTTCTCATCCTTTGCAGCTGCTATACTTACGATCGATGCATGTTTTCGGAATTTCCTGACCTTGTTAATGATCTTGACCGGATCAGCTTCACCTATCACAGTTACTGTATTTTTGGATGGATCAAGGACAATAGAAGTTATCCCGACAACGTCTGAGATTACCTTCATTACCTTCTGCCTGCACCTTGGGCAGAGGAGCTCCACTGACAGGACAGTTTTCTGCACCAGAAAGAAAGGAGTCAGATTCTGCAGTATTTTATCTGATCTCAGAACAGACATTCAATTCAATGTCATATGAGCAGTAGTATTGTAGGATGTCAGTGCAGGGAGAGAATGGCAGAGCAGAACGATGAGTCAAAAATTAAATGCAGAACAGAACAAACATCAAATAACATAAAGCTTTATGGGAGCTAAGTGGGTTTCAGGGGAAAGTAAACCTTTGACATGGTTTTGAATAAAGCACACAGTAACTACAATTGTATAATGTTGAATGAGAACAAGCTTTTCCAGTATAAAGTAATGGATCCCAAACTTCCTATATAGTATAAATTGTTACTACATCTCTTAACTTCATTTGATTTCATGTAATTTTAAAAGTGTTTTTGAGTACGGTTTTTCCTATGCTTTTGGATAGAAATTTGGTTGGAAAGTAAATGGACTGACAGTGTTAGTTGGTGACAAGTAAATGCCAGTCAGAAGGTTCTTGATTGGGTTACCTTTAAAAGTGTTTTTGAGTATGGTTTTTCCTATGCTTTTGGATAGAAGTTTGGTTGGAAACTAAATGGACTAACAGTGTTAGTTGGTGACAAGCAAATGCCAGTCAGAAGGTGCCTGATTGGGTTACCAAAGGCATCATGCTCCTTAAATGTGAATTTTTTACAGACCCAAACACCACACACACACTGACACAGGCATAGAAACAATAACATGACTTCATTATTCTCACTCATAACGACCTTGAATCAATTTTGAATGTAACATACCTATGCAGCAGTTTTGCTGGCTCACAAAGTAACTCCTAGTCATTAAGGAAAATTATTCTAATGGTAAAAGTAAATCATACAAGCAGTAGCTCATAAACGTATGACATTGATTCTGTGAAAAGTTCCAGTAGGCTGCCTAAACAATCATTTGTACAGTGTAGGCAGTCAGATGCTTTATTTGAGGATGTTGTTAAGAGTAACCAGATGGAACCTCGCATTCTGATTGCACAAGGCTGTCAGTCCTAGGACCTAGAGTTTTTCAGTACAACTTTAGCAGGGTTTTCTACTGTTAGTAACATTTGGGAAGATGGGAGAGTTAGTTTGTGTGTGCGTCAGAGGCAGTTTGAACTGAATGGGCAAAACTAAGACTTACACCACTCATTTAGGTCCTTTTTAACCCAAGCCTTCAACTATAAAATATTTAAGAGATTATAAGAGGAAGAGAACTTTACCAATACCGTTCAAACAAGCCTTCTCGGCAGTCTAAAAACCAGCTGATTGTATAGCAGAGATGGCCATTCAGCGATGAAGGCAAAAACTTAAACTTTCTAAGCTAACGAAACTGAGACCTGAATTAGGAAGTTGTTTTATCCCACTCAAACATTAATGACTTTAGGTTGTGATGTCAGATAATTATTCCCCATAATCATAGGCAAACTAAAAAAAGAAGCACAGGTCGTTGTAGGCAGGCAGTGAACTAGAAGTTTGAGGGCTTTAGTTGCCTTGTCCACACATCCAAAGTAAGTTTAAGAGCAGGAGTAAAGGGTAGCCTAGGAATTTCCTTGAATCAAAAAAGACAAAGAAAGGTAAGAAACAATCTCCAAAGCATTGAAATGGCTTTCTAATTACAAAGACTGGAATTATCTGAAACTATAGTAAATAACATTGAAGTATAGAACATATATACCTGGCAAGCCAAAAATATGTTGAAGTTGCAGGTATATAACTCTCGTAACTCAGAGTACCTCCCTCCAATGGTCCAAGCACTTTAGAACTGGCATCTCCAGCTGTCGAGCTTTGATTGGGCAAAAGGTCTACAAAACTTCAATACAAGCTACACAAAGGGGAATAACTTCACTACGCAGGAAACTTCAAAGGAACAGGAGACAGAATTGCACTAATTTGGCACATATGCTAGGCCCCAAAACATCCTAGAGCTTTCATATCTTCAAATCAAATGCTTTTATGCTTACAGGCTTATGGCTGAGGAGACCATAGACCATGCTAATTAACCTTGCACAGAAGATTAGTTCAAAATTCAAAAACAACAGTGCTTCGTGCTGTCTAGAAAGAAGCACCACTTTGTTAAAGAAAAATGACTACGAACATTAATGTTATCTGAAAATCAAGGTCCCCTTCATATCTTCAAGTAGTTGTTGTAAGAAGTTTATTATGTTAGATTCCCTCACAACCAAACATTACACAAAATAGTCAGGCTTAAGAAGGAAATAAAGAGGGGAATTGATTAGATAGGTTTTCACACAAATTCTGCTTTTCGATAAGCCTTTAAGCAAGAGTACATTTAAGAAAGTCAGCTAATACCTTCAACATCACCACAAGATACCAACAAAGTTCCCACTAGAAACAGTAAATTCAACATCCAGCTGTATGAATTAATTGGGAATGTGGGCTCAAGATATAATGGCAGTGAGTAGTTGGCACATCGTTTTCCCTGTTAGCCCTAACCCTTATGCTCTGTTATTTTCTCTTTTTCTCTCCAGTTAAGCTCCCACCGGTAAATGGTGAGATGTTAACCAGTCCTCCCTCTGAAACCAGATGAGAAACGTATGTATGGTAGCATTACAATTTACAAATATATAACATTGCAAGAATTCAAATGCATTAACTCTCTCAAACATGAATAATTATCTTTCTCCACAATACTAGCCAATAGCAGCTGAACACAGAAGCAATTCAAAGGAAAATTTTCAAGTTCAAATGGAAAAAGGGTCTTGCATAGCTTCAGTATAGATGATTCTTGACAACTTAATACTTCAAAGTGGAAGTGATTTTACTTCAAGGGGTTGACAATTGAGAAATATTATAGCTTTACAAAACAGAGAGAGAATTTATGTCATAGACTACAAAGAACAAAGTATAGAAGTAAAGATTTTGGTAAATCATCAAGTAACTGTACTCTGGTAAGAGTAAGACAAACTGCATAGCGAGTTACAGAGTTATGCACATGGTTTATCTGATTTAAAGGCAGTCCATGTTACATTGGACATTGTACAACAAATTGGAAAAAGGATTAACACATAGGTAAATCTGATATAAACCAGTGAATATACAACTGCTGTAAAAGCAGAGGATCATTCAGTTTCCACATAACAAGGAGGGAAACGAAAAAGAAATTAAGTAGTATAAATCTTTAAGCAAAAGATACAGACAACAGATTATTTTCCCCAAGAAAGGGAAATCCAAAAGCCCCAAAAAGAGGTGAAGGAAGAATTTGAGCCTAAAGATGAGCGATACTCATCTGCACTTTACAACCTTTAATTTTACAACAACAGTTTAGGAAACATATAAGAACTACTTGCACTTACCAGTAGAATCTTCAATAAACAAATTGTCTTCGGAGGCATATCTTTCATCTCGATACACTTCCATAGGAATCCATTCTAGCAGCTTTATCTGCTCAATGCTCAGTTTTCACCTTCTGAGAATAGCAGCTAACTATCTTCTTATCTAGGTTGTAATAGTACTCCATTTTCTTCAAAGGTTTCAAATCCAGATCAATGAAACATACCTAGAAATTTGCAAATTAGATAAGCTATATATGTAAGAAGAGAAGAAACCTTGCTACAGAGGACTTTGATTTCAGCCCAAAAACTTTTCCTCAATATGGTAAAAGAAAGAACCATATAGATTTTCTAGGTTCATTTTAAAGATTGAGCAAATTAGAATAGCTCCTGAGAACATTTTAATTTCAAACCATCAAAAAATTTTGAATTGAAGTAGTTTTAAACAACAACCGAAAGCATGCAGAGAAAGTATTTTGAGCAATTGCTTTCAAATGCTATGACAATACTAAATAAAGTATTTCGGTACTAACAATGAACACTGAAACTCCATGAAAATGGCAAGGGAGCTTACCTTGTACTCAAAAACTTGATTAGTTGATCCTAGATATAAAGAAATTTTAGAGGATCCTGATTGTAACTCTCCATCTTCCTTTGGTCTAAAACTAATCATCAAACTGCAGTCTTTTGCAGTTGCAGCTATCAAATAGTCCTTCACAATCTTCAAGCTTTCATCCAACGGAATGGAGTGCAAGGAGGTATACTGGTGTGATAATTTGTCATCACTTAATTCTCTACAAACCACACAAGGTTGAGAAATTATGTTATAATAAGCATGAATCGCCCCTTCAATGTCATAAGCATCAAGCTTCTGAACTTCAAGAAGTTGATCTAATACTCCACAAGTATAAACCGTGTCAGCAACAAGCTGTATAAAACTAGTTGTGCGCAGGCCATTATCTGCCTGAATGACACTCTTAAGTGCACCTTCAAAGGCCTCACCAACCAGAACAGTGGTGTTGTCTGTGCCACCACCTGAGCCCCCAAATACAAGAGAACCATTCAAAAAAACACGGAAATTGTTCTGAGGAGTGGCATATAGAGCTTTGATAGCTTTACAGATCCTGTCTCTGGATCCAGAGAATAGATCCAGTGGATTATATTCACTATATTCTGATATCTGTAAAGTAAATAGTTTTAGAAACAGTCAGAATCATTAAAAAAGTGAGAATAAACATAAATATTAACAAAATGGCCATATTAGCTAATATATGGGGGTGGGATGCTAGAATAGACATTCATTCCTTGCATGTGGAATAATTAATAACCCAGCTCCAACAAACACCCAATAATTACCTCTTGTTTATGCAACTTCAGTACTTGGTGCATTCTGAACCTAGTTACGATTCTTTTAAGAGCATTTTCTTCAGCTATGAATCTTGAAATTGGGAGAAATCCACATTTGGGCTACTTTATGGAAACAAAAGGAAAGTATAACTTAGTAGAGCAAACAAAAATGTATAACGCGCCAAAAATATAAGTTGATGACACAAATAAATTGAGGGAAAAAGGCATAAAGAAATCCACCTTTATCTCAACCGTTATACATGGTCCACCTTTCAGAGTACCTGAAATGAAGAAAGTGCAATGATATAAAAGCCCAACAGATTCTTTGCTATATTTCATAAACTAATTTTAATCATTTGCAATGGAAATCTAGGCTCATATTTGTTCAGATTTAACTACTCATATTCTGACATATGAGATAAGTTCTAGGAAAATGAAAAATGCAGAAGACCACATACACGTCTATAAGCCGCTTTCAAGCCCCTGGATTTTCACACATGAATAACATTGCATGAGTAGGGGATAGCAATCTAGTCAACAAAATCACATTAAGAACAACAATGCTTCAACTGGCTAGTTTGCACAAAGTAATTTAAGATATATAAATTTCCAAATAGACAAAATACTGAGAGCTACTTCCAAATCTGTACTACTAGGTAAACAGTTTGCAACCTACATTCTGGTGAAAGTATGTCTGCTAGTATGTTCGCTCTTATAAGGATAAGACTGGAAGGCAGCTAGAGACCTATCACCTATCTACAACATGGGGAAATACATCACACTAGATCAGGAGAAGGCCAGATTACCGTTTGGAAAGACTGAGTGATCCGACATGATCAGCGCAGAATCACGATTTGCATCAACCTGTGATGAATCCACGCGCCAAGCAGGCCGTTGACAAATCACATTCTTATCAGCGGACTCAAGGAATTCCTTAGTTACAAGAACACGTATCTGCCAAACTCAAAAGACCAAGAATCCAAAAATCAACCACCTTAACTTTCAAGCATCAGCAATTATATATAACCAGGATATTTATATATTTATATACCCCAGCATCAACATGTTTTGGGCCCAACAACGGGCTCATGACATGCTTAACGTAAAGTTGCTCAACAATCTCTCTGTTTGGCGACGCCGTAAGCTCCATATCTTCTCGCCAGAGAAGCTGCTCATGCGTTGTTAAAGTTCCGTTTCCGTTCACTCCATTTTTGTCGTTCCGTTGTGACTTTTGTATTCGCATCACTTTCCCGATCTTATTATTTTATCAATAAAATTCCAAAAAAAAAAAAGAAATAAGCAACGAAATTGAATAAAAACAAATTCAATTTTCTACTCCACTTTCAGTTTCTTAATAAATTCAAAATTCTCCCAAAAAAAATCGCTGGAGGAACCTACAAATGCGGGAGATGATCCAGTGTAAGCGAGAACAAGATTAGCAGCTCCTTCTCCTCTATACACCCAATCAACTGCATCCTTTTGCTCTAAAACCACTTTCTCCATTTATCTAAGGCGGCTGCGATTCATTCATCAATAAAAAACATAATCAAAAATAAAAAGAAAAAGCTAAAATCCAATACTAAAAAAAAAAACTTAAAATGCATTCGGTACCAGATCGGAAAATCTAAGAACAATGCGATTAAAGTAAAAGCTCTAAATAATCGAGAAAATCGCAGCCGAAAAATCGGAAATAAATTGCGAAGTGAAAAAAAAAAAGGGGAATTTTGATTTTAATAAAACGTAAAGGGAGTTGGAGCTATCTTCTTCGCTTTTTTTGTTTTGTTTTTTTTGAAGAAATAGAAAAAAGCGGGACTGTAATCAGTTTTAGCGCAGCTATTAGTTTGACTTAAAAAAAAAAATTGGCCGCTTTTGATGAAAGTGTTGGCGAACGGGATGTGGATTTATGTGTCATTTTACCCCCAGATAATTAAAAAAGTAGAGAGAAGTTTTGCAATTTGCTCCTTTTGGAATTCGAGATTCTTGGAACGACATTGCATTGCAAAAGTCGAGGCATAAAACGACAATTCATTTCCTCTCTTTTTTTTATGGTGGATCCAAAAAAGGAAAAATAGAGTGCCTTTTTAGGAAGTGAATTGGGATTGGGACAGTCCGAGATTAAGCAATAATACTAGTATTATTATATTTGTGCTTGTTTTATTTTTAAAAAAAAATTGAAATATTATGAAGAGTAAAAAAATAAAATAATATAACAACACCTTTAATTTACTAAATAAAATAAAAAACAAATGTAAATTAATACTATTGAATCGAATCATAAAATCACAATTTACGCAAGAATATTTTGCAAAAGGACGAGGCTAGTGGTGGATAACAAAGATTCTTATCGCCTAAGGTATTGGTCTTAAATGACGAGAATTATTGATAGCAAATAATTGGGCATTAGGATGAGGAATAAGGTACAAAAGAAATTCCAAAATAAAATAAAAGGTAGTATTATTATTCTTTTAAATCTAAGCTGCAAAAGGGGAAAATTAGCACGTTTTATTCCTAACAACTTAGAGCATGAATTTTGTAGTTGAAATGCTAAGCAAAAGGGGAAAGAAAATAAAAACACCCAATATTCCCCTTTTCATCAATATGGTTGATCGAGTGGATGTCAAATTCGTAAACTTTTTATTCGAGATTGAAAAATTTTATCTTGCGTATTGAGTCTCTCAAAACTCAATTGGATGATCGAAAAATTCAACATATTCTCTATATTGGAAATAAATTGACCAATAAATTTGATAAAAATGTCATTTTTAGAATAATTTGATCAAAGATATTTAAATAGCGAAAGTTGTTGTAATTTGTGAACTATTTTGCTCTTATTATTAATAACAAGGAACCTATGCTCTTCAAAAAGGAAAAAAGGCGCTATTCTTTTCAGGAAAAAAATATGCTGAAAATGAGAAAATAACAAGTACTTTCATTTGACTAGGAGTTATAATCAACTTAAAGATAAGTCAAGTTTACTAGTGGTGTCAACTTCTTCCTTTTTTGCTTTAAAAGTGGGGGAGGGGGAAAGTAATGAACTAAAATAATGGGACACCTTTCTATTGTGGATGCCCAAATCTCTGGGGCCATAGATTGACTTATAGTTGCAGAAACAAAAGAATATATTTCATTTTGTAACAGGGGAACTAATTAAAGAGACTAAACCATACATTTTATGCAGGAGTTAGAGGTCGTTTGCTTTTACTTCTGTATATGCAGCTGCAAAACTAGATTAATTCATTTAGGTTTATTACCTAATTAGTAGATATATAACATAATAATATTAAAAAAATAGACAAAAATAATTATAAAAAATTTAAGCTACGTTATTTAAGTAGGAAGGTTTTTAAAATAAACACGTTCTTTTTAAATATACACATTCTGTTATAAATTTCTTTTAAAACAAACTTGAGAAAGATAATTACAAATTGATTCTCATGCACATTAGAGCATATTAAATTCCCGATAGGGAAGGAAGATCCTTTTTAGCTCGTTGTACATGCAAAGAAATAAATAAACGTTTTGATTGAAGGGGGGAAAATGGGGCGTGGGCTGTATGATGACACTTATGCAGAATGGTAATTCGCAACGTCCAAGTTTGGTCGATTCGATCCCCACTTCTTATTCATTGCCGGTGCTCTTCAACATGTGGTGGAAAACAATTCAATGCATGTAACTCAGGTTGGGTATGTCTCATGGACTGAATTTGTCAGTGTCCCCTAGACCTATGCAAGGACAAAAGATTAAGTATGTTTCACGTTTTATGATTGACTAGACATTAAATAAGATAAAAAATCTCTATTCGGTTTACCGTTATAGTTGAGACCAAACCAAATTTCATGATTGAGATACTAAAGATAAAACAATCTCTATTCGGCTTAATACTATGGTGAGGACCATGCTATGCTTCGGTTTGGTATTATGTTTTGGTCCAATATTTTCTTTTTTTTTTTAAGTATGCAGATAAGAAAATTCACAAAATGCAATGATTTCTATGGCTTGGTTAATTTCATAATGAATAGATTATTAATGTGTTATTTATAATTTCATTTTTTTTATCATAAATGAAAAATTAATCATTGAATTTAGATTATATATAAATAAGAAATAGCCCTCTCTCAGTCTTGTCGTTATAAATTTCAATCTGATCACCTCAAGATTCTAACATGAAATTTATATAATTCTATCTTCAATTATCTTATTTATGATTTATCTTTTTGAAAAGTTGTAAGAGATTTTTAATTAATGAAGAGAAAAAGGGAATGATATATTATTATGATTAAATTTGAAATTGAGAGTGTTTTTTACACAAAAGTGTTCACATTTAACATTCTTATCCAATCTCTTTTGATGAATTACGTGTGCGTGTGTATATATTTAAATTTATTTATTTATTATTAATTTTTCATGTGGGCTAAGGTGCTCCTACGCTAGATAAGAAAGATTAAAGGAAAGCTGTAAAGACGTGTTACATAGTCTTGATCCTTGGGTCGGGTGGTTTCAAAATGAAGATAAAAAAAAAAAGCTTAACCACTTAGTCCGATTATACTCTTATAATTGGACTTTTTCATTTTATGGGAATTTGAAGAACTTTGAATATGCAATATTATCTACTGAAATTACTATCATATTAAATTAACACATACATTAAATGCTAATTACGTAATTAAATATCACAAGTTACTTATAATTAAATATAAAACGTGATACGTGTACTTGATTATTACCGTTACAATCAATGTTTGTTACTAAAAAGGTGGGCAAACGAGGGAATCAATCGACCAATCATGCATCGAATGACTAATTATGGCGAATTGGAGATAGGGTAGGGCCCTCTTAGGTATTTTTTTTATTGAAACATTTAATGTTTGGTTAACATGGCCATTTTCATGTCGATCTTTTATTTTTAAAATGTATCAAAATCGCAATTCCATTTTTAGATATTTAATATTCTTAATTTTTTTATATTTTTAAATTATTTTTTAATTTTTTATATTAAAAAATATTGCATATTTATATTATAAAAAATTTTAAAATTTAATATAAAATATATCAAAATTAAAAGTTTTATCTTAAATTTTTATGAAAGTGTAATTAAATCCAATTATGTAAGAATATAATCAATCATCCGATTTTTTATCTTGGGATGAGTACCTAAATATAATTATACATAATAAAATATTCATCTTTTTTCTATAACCATATATATCACTTTGTACTAAATGCACCTCAACCACGCAGCCACATCCATTAGTTTTACAAGAGCTAATTAAGCTTTGCCTTCGACCAAGCTCATCAGACTATAAATAGGGCACGACATACCCTCCACTCTTCGTTCTGCCCTTCTCTGTACAACTCTCAGGGAGCAAAAGAGAGGACGAGACAGAGAAATAATGGAAGTAATGCAAGTACTTCACATGAACCAAGGGAATGGAGAGACTAGTTATGCAAAGAACTCAACGGTTCAGGTGGTTGTCTTCGCCTTTTGAAGTCTCATATACCTGTTTGCCGTTTAAATATTGGTTGGTTTTTTACTTAGCTGTATGTCTTGCCTTTTCTTTCTATTTTTGCAGAGCAAAATCATATCCGTCGGGAAGCCAATCATAGAGGAAGCAGTACATGCAATCTCGTGCAACAATGTCCTAGAGAGCATGGGAATTGCAGACTTGGGTTGCTCGTCAGGACCCAACACCTTATCCGTGATCTCTGAGATCATGGACATGGTACAAGCCACAAGCCGTCGTCTCGGCCGCCCGGTACCGGAGTTTAGGGTGTACCTGAATGATCTCTACAGCAATGATTTCAATTACATATTCATGTCATTACCGGCATTCTACCACATACTGAAAGAAGAGAAGGGCATCGGGTGCGGATCCTGCTTTATATCTGGTGTCGCAGGCTCTTTCTATGGCAGATTGTTCCCTAGCAACAGCCTTCAATTCGTGCACTCCTCTTCCAGTCTTCACTGGCTCTCCCAGGTTAGTGTGAAATGATGGAAAAAGAGTTCATGTTTCAAGAACCCCCTAAACTATTATTGAGTGACAGCCATAAAGTTTTGTTATAGTCTTCCTTTTATTTAGAACCTTGATCGTAGACTCGTAGTAGATGAATTGATTCCATTTTCATATATATTATGAGAATTTGAGGAACTTTAGACCGGTGATATCATCTACTGGAATCACTATATAATATCAAATCAAGATATATATGGAATACTAATCACTTAATAAATATTTTAAGTTATTTAAAATTAAATTAAATATATGATAGTATGCGCAATTGTTATTGTTAAAATCAATATCCGTTAAATTAATAATACTTTACTTGTTGAAACATTTTTCATCCGATTGTTCAACAATTATGTTAAAAAATACTATCAATAATGTTTTCATAATCATAACAAAAATGACATTTGTGATAAATAAGAAGGTTTTTAATTAAATAATAAAAATAGCTTAATTATTTATTTTTATCATAAAATATTTTAATAGATTTAGTTAATCATTTAACGCTTTCTGATTTTCGACCAAAGCCATAGTAATAACAGAAGGAAATAGTTTGCCAAAAAAAAAAAGGAAATAAATGCCTAAAAGAATTTTAGGGAAGGAAGACAATGGCAGTTGTGCTGGGCGCTGATAGTCTTTGATGTCCAATAACTATCGCTAACCTCGTATCACTATACAATTGTGGGCCAATCATTCAGGGGAACCGCAGACAGCCTATTTCGTGTCTTATGTTGCATTTGAATTCGGAATATTATTTATATATTTTATATATTCATAATTTTAAAAAAATTTATTTGAAAAAATTTTAAAATTTTATCTTTATACATATATGTATATATGAAACGATACTTTATGATTAAATGATAATACCAATATTATTGAAAAGAAATCTCAAATCTAATATTAAATAAGAAATTGAAATGGTGGGCTGTCCATCAATCAGTTTATTCCCACTTCTTAAGGAATTAATTTTCATATAAATTTAATTAATTTATCATTATATGTCTGATGTATACATAGAAGTAAATTAAATCTGCTCTTGAAAATAAAATTTTTGAATTTCATATATAAATCGGATTTGTCAAAAATAGATGTCAAAGTCGTATTGGATAGCGAAGTTGAATTCGGACAATACATTAAGCTTTTATTGAAATTTTACTATGGATGGAGGTCCCTATCAAAAATTTATATATTGATATGAAATTAAGTAGGGAAATTGTCCTACTTAATTACATTATTAATTCATATGTTAAACTTGTAGCCACATTGAGAGAAATAATCTTAATGTTCTTGTTGTTAATGTGTAATGTATGTTACGTTTAGTATGCTAAGGAAGGAATGCTGAATTTGTACAGGTTCCTCCTGGCCTGGAGAGCAATGCTCTCACTCCTTTGAATAAGGGAAAGCTCTATATATCAAAAAGCAGCCCTCAAAGCGTGCTGAATGCGTACTCATTGCAGTTCCAGAATGACTTTTCAATGTTCATAGAGTCACGTTCGCAAGAATTGGTTCCCGGTGGCCGCATGGTTCTTTCTTTCATGGGCAGGAGATCCACTGATCCCACAACTGAAGAGAGCTGCCATCACTGGGAGCTGTTAGCCCAAGCAATAATGAGCCTGGTTAGAGAGGTATACACAAAATTTCACATCATTGTTACTTTATCCTTTCCCCTTAAAGAAAGAATCACGTGACGTGAAGGATTGGATTAAAATCAATCCTTGAAAGTGGAATGAGCTTTCCAGGTTGACAAACTAACTAACAAGCTGGACTTTCCAGGGTCGGATTGAAGAGGCAAAAGTTGATTCTTTCAATGCCCCTTACTATGCTCCCTGTGCTGAGGAAATTAAGATGGAGATACAAAAGGAAGGGTCTTTCGTAATCGATCGCCTTGAAGGTTTTGAAATCGACTGGGATGGAGGTGCTGTCAGTGACATCCAGACAGCACAAGGGAAACTATTGATCGGACAACGAGTGGCAAAAACCATCAGAGCCGTGGTGGAATCAATGCTGGAATCTCACTTTGGAATTGGACAAGATATAATGGATGATTTATTCAGCAGGTATGCAGAGATTGTTGGGAATCACTTGTCAAAGACTAGAACCAAGTACATCAATTTGGTGATTTCCCTTATTAAAAAGGGGTAATCAAATCCAATTGGACGAACATCTTAACGAAAACGTCTGCAAGTTTTGTATGTCTGTTCACATAGGAGAGTACTATAAAATCCAAAGGAAATAGACATAAGTGAGGCTTCGGGCACCAGAAGCCAGTTGTAATAGTTTGGGATAAATAAGAATGTATTGTTTCCTCCTTGAGAAATGGTATTCACGAAGTTAAGTTATTCAAAGTCTAACGACCAATCAGGGCATTTGAAAGTTTGAACACAAGCACCTGGAAGAAACATGATGGTAGACCGTACAACAATAGTGCAATTCGTTTTACTACAAATTGTACTGGCATTACTCTCATTGCTCTTGGTCAGACCGATTCAACGTATGAAATTTTCATTAGGATGTTCGACTACTGGAACTTCAACTTGTGGCTGTAAGATTTTCCGACGTCTTTCTCCAACTGCCCTTGAAGTCATAGTCGGCTACCGAAATCTTTGAAGAATATCTGAGTACCAATTTCAGCTAGAATAGACTCATAGTTACTACTGTCAGAACGTGCAGAATCAACTATCATCGTCCAAAATCACTGGGGTAAGAATCTAGGCATCTACCCAACCCATCGCTTGCCATGGAGGATCCTAAAACTTACGTGATAGATAGGTACGGCTAATTAAGCTTGTGGAAAACGTGTAGATGCCCAAGTCTAATGCTTGAAGCTTATGCCGCTGAAGAATATGACACCAAAGACGTACAATATGAATAAAAACTTTTTTGTCTCATTACATGTTTTATTGATATATATATTTTTTAATTTTATGTGATGTATTTAATAAATTTTTTGTTTTAAAATTCAAGATTTAAGGATTAAATATTTTTTATTTATAATTAAAGATTGAATATGTAACATAAAATTTAAAAAATGAAACTTTATAAATATATCATCTTGTTTGTTGAATGAGAGATTTTTTTTTTACTTAAAATGAAATTATAATTTAAAAAATATAAAATTTTAAAAAAATACTAAATGGGTATCGAATGAGATAAAAAATATCTATTAGGTACCATATATGGTTTGATCATGAAAAAAAATGGAATCTTAAACTTCCAAATAGTACAATTACTTTAAACAAAACTTAATTAATTAATTATATATATATTACTTTTAACATCATATAAGCTAAAATTTCATGACAATAGGAATCAACCATTGCAATAGTAGAATTCTTTATGAATAAATAAACGACTATATTTTCAAGATCCCATCATGAATCATGGTGTCTTCTTATAATTTAAATTTACAGTGAAACATCAAACATCCAGCGACTGGCTCAGAGAGCACTAACGTCCGCTCAAAGCGCACTGGGGGTTGAAACGGGAAATGATTTCCAGCACGGGAGGCCAATCTTTTGTAGGCCAAAACACCAGCACACCGTTTTTAAACCGTACACGTGGTATCCCATTGATTAATGTGAGGTTCAACGTTCAAATTATATAGAGGCTGTGATGATTTAATTCTCCATTTTCATCTGCCAAAGTGCAGTAGACAAGAAAAAATGTTTCAGCTTTTGCTAGATGTAGGTCCTCATTGCCATTGTCTTTACGCAGTCTTGGTTCTTGCTGCCCTGGTATTTCTTGCGAGTCAGTTGTGGAAGATGCTGCAGCAGCTTAATCACGAATCCAGGGCTGATATTCCTCCGGGTCGTCTAGGATTGCCTTTTATTGGGGAGACTATCCAGTTTATGGCTGCCATCAACAGTGGCAAAGGCTTCTATGACTTTGTCCGAGTTCGCAGTCTCAGGTGTGTGACTCTCCACTCCCTGATTCAATGAAAACTCCTGGAGCAGATAAAAGAACTTATTAGTTGTTACAGAACATTTAGATTCCTGTACTCTGTTTTCCAAACGCATCTTTCATGAAAAAGTTTTGAGGTCTGGAACTAGAGCAAGTAATATATTTGAAGCATCCGACCGAGTTGTTACAGAATATAAATTGTTCAAAGTCTGCGTGATTTGAATTTGGAAATTTATGTGTTGTTTCGATGGGTCGTTGTTCTTTTGCTATGAGTCTTTTGACAGATATGGGAACTGCTTCAAAACCAGCAT